CTTGAAGAAAATGAAGGGCTGAGGCATGGTGGTCTTCCTTTTCCCTCTACCTAACAGCACTTTCTGAGTACCTGTCCTGCGGTGGTCACTGTGACAGGCACTGGCGGGGGGTGGTGGTGGTGGTGAAGAAATGATTAAGACACAGCTTCTGCCTCCTTTAAGAAGCCCAGTGGCCAGAACAGAGGCAGGTGGTCAAACTGTAATTTCAGCCTGAACAAAGAACTGGGGGGCCTGAAGGAGGGAGGATCAGGCCTCTCCACAGAAACAGAGGTACCACAGACATCCCTGGTAGACTGTCTGAGCAACTCATCCCTCCATCTGACTGTGACCCTCCCACTGCAGCCAAACTCTGTTTGCTTGTTTTCCTTACTGGGCTCAGAAACTAAACAAATAAAACTACCTTTAATCCCCCTCTCCCCCCAACTCCTCCACCATCATTGTTACTGTACTTCCTGAATCCTGGCCAAGTTTCATTTCCTCACCATCCCCTGCCGAGTGAATCTGCACGAAGACATCTCTGAATGTGGGCCCCCTGCTAGGGACCTCTGCAGCCTTGTCTCTTGGCACTGTAGGTAAATGGTTTGCTGAGCAAGTACAGTATTTTCTATATTGCTGAAGAGGATCTCAGTTTTGGAGTTTAAACCTCGGGCTGAGGTGAGTCTGCCTTCTTCCTCCATGGCAGCCCTTCTCACACATGCCTTATGATAGCAAGTGGCACTTGGTGTCTAATGTAAATTCTGGGGGAGGCTGCCTTGTTTGAGGTTTAGAGGGCCAGGATACTTCACCAGCTGCACTCATTGTCAAATACGAAATAATCAGCACAGGTCCGAAAGGGGATCCGTGTTGGGCCATCAGCTCTGATTGTGTGGGTGAGGGAGAGACCAGAGCCTGAGCTCAGTCTGACACTGCAAGCCTGAGAAACGGCGAGAGGCAGAGAGCTTGACATGTACTCTGAAGCCCACATCTCCCCAGCTGCCAGTCAGCAGAGATGTTGCATGTTGATTTCACGTATTCACTTCTCTTCCTCCACTCTGGGAATTCTGTACTTGCTTCACTTTTTTGGGTTATTATTATTTTATAAAAGGGCTAGGAGGTGGCGGGGGTGAGGAAAGGCAGCTCTGCCTGTTCAGATGCTCAGGATCCTCAAGGGCAGTCTACCTCCCAGCATATCGAGTGGCTGGGGATCGGGAGGGGGCAGAAGAGATGGTGTCTCAACTCACCTTTCTCTCTGGTGGCTCCTTCTGCACCCAAACTCTAGGAAATTGAGAAAAACCACAGCAGTTGGTCTTCTAGCCTCTCCTCCACCCTGCTGCCAGGGCCAGCTTCCTAGGTCACCATTTTGTCATGTGCCCCCACTTCTGGGGAAGCTCTCCCCTGAAGTCCAGACTATCACTGCTTGGGAAGCTGCTATGTGAAGTTCAAACTTTCATGTGTCATGTAAGGTCTGGCACAGCTCACTTGACTCCCAGGCACATTCTCCTGCTTCAGAAAGGTCTGAGTCCTCACTGCCCCCGAGTGTACTATATCCACTCCTTCCTAGGTAATGCTCCTCCTCCCTCCCCACCCACATCCACTCCAGAGAACCCTTCTGCAAGGGGAGGGCCCAAGGGACATCTCTTTGCTGTCCTATCATGGTACATGCTTGCTATTTCATGCTGCTTTTGGCTTTTGTAGGTACTTTCTTGGAATGAGGGTAAAGGCTGGTGTCTTCAGCTAGCTTGTGAGCTCCCTGAGGTACATGGCCATGACTCGCATATCTTTGTATCTTCCAGGGTCTTCCTTGCTCAGTGTCCTTGCTCAGCTTCCTGCCTGTGATGAACAGTCTACTACAATGAATGCGTGGCTTGTTCATGGTGGCTAAACCTGCCTTCCTGTGGCTCCTCTCCCAGCTCTGTCTAGGCTGTCTCCTTTCTTGGACTAGCTTCCTGGCTTGCAGACTACATCCCCTTGCACCCCCTTCCTTTTTCCAACTCTCTGTAAGATAACTTAGGTCCATCCCCTTGGGGTCTCACCTTAGCTGATCAATAGTCCAGCAGTACTGCCCCAACCACACCTCTCCCTTTTACCTCTTACTCATGATCCTATTATCTAATGACCTTTTATCAGAACATGTGATCAGGTTCCCAGTGTGCTTTTAGATAGTCTCTTAGACTGGGAGACTCCCAAAGGCAGGAACTAGGTTTAGAGCTGAAGAGAGTAAAGAACACGGGCTTTGAAATCAGTTTCCTTATCTGTGAAATGGGCTAATAACCATAGCTATCTCATAGGGTTGTTAAGAGGATTCAGTGAGTTACTGCATTTGAAACCTCGTATCTGGGGTATGAGGACTTGTAATAAACTTGAGTTGCTCTTATTATTCTGATAATGACTAAACTGGGTACCCTGATGGGACCTGAAACTTTGTTAATGGACTGAAGAGTGGGACTTCAGTGCCCTTTGGACAAGTGTGTCCAGGAGGGAGCAGAACTGTTTGTTATATTGGGCAGCCTCCTCTTCTCTCTTACCACCTCATTGTCCTTCGCTTCCTGCCCCACCCCCCAGGTCCTCAGTTGCTAAGCAAATAGTTACTGGCACAAATTCATTTATAATCAGAAAGGAAGGTGGAATGACAGTGGGGAGGCTATTCTCACTGAATAAGGTTTGAATTGGGGAGAAAAGAGAGAAAAAATGAAAAAGAAGGTGTTGGGGGCCAGCCTGGGAGGGCTCTTGCTGAAACTAAGTTCCCATCTGAGACTAGCAATAACAGCCCCTTATATTTGTTCAGTGCTTAAAGTCCTCGGACTGTTCCCACGTGTGCCAGCTCACTTTATTCTCAGGACACCTCTGGAGTTAGGCTCTATTAATTCCCATTTTAAAAAGGAGGAAACCGGAGCTCAGAAAAGCAAACTACCTTGCCCTTGATCACACAGCTACAAACTGAGCTAAGAGTGAAGACCAGATCTCCGGACTGGGAGTCCTGCTGCTAAATGATCTCTCCTGAATCAAAGAAGGAATGTCGTAAGAATGAAGTGGCAGCCATGAGCCTTCAGGAGCCTGCAGGTGGAGGCTGAAGAGAACAAAAGGTGTTAGCCATTCCAGTCAGGTGGCTGTGGGCTCCCTGAGGAGCTAGCCATTCATCTGCCCCTCATCTGTAGACAGCACCCACAGGACCGGGTGCCCAACCAGGAGACAGTATGGTGCCACAGTTGTGACGCACAATAGGTTTCCTTGCTGAGCTGCTGTCTGAGTGGGGATGGGGCTCAGACAGTAACACCGTTGCAGGCCCCTGTAAAGAACCTCAGCATTGCACCTCTAGGATGGAGGCCTGCCTGGGAGCCAGACTGGACCGTGCAGGGCCACGGCAGCCGGCCTGTGATGAGGGTTTGAAGTCCCTCTGGTCCAAGTCATTGTCCCCCCTCCCTTAGGCGACAGCCAGTGGCAGTAGGTTCCCTGAGGAGCCAGCCATACACCTGTCCCTCATCTGTAGAAAGAACCCACAGGACGGAGTGCTGGTGTGGCCTAGGTGATGAATGTCCTGTCTTTCCGACTAGATTGTGTGTGTAGGGCAGGGGGCTGTACACCTTACACTGGTTTCCTCAAGGGCCTGGCCTTGTGCTCAGCACATTGAATAGGTGTAGGACAAGTGACCGAAGGGATCCGGGAGGCCGTCTCACACTCACACCCCACGGAGGAGGGTGTGAATGCTCTACCCAGCCATCCTAGTGCAGCGCCCCACCCCCACCCCCACGCCGAGCCTGGTGTCAGGTGCCGGGCATACAGAGCCTCCTAAGACTTGGCCCTGCTCTCAGGTGCTCTCAGCACTCTCTTGCAGGTGGCCGAAAAGAGAGGTGGGCTCCTCACACCCCAAAGTTTTCTAGTCTTCTTTGTCTGCCAACTGGTCGCCCAGGTCGGCGGTGCAGAATTCCGCACAAGCCCAGGGGACGCTGCCCCAGGCGCAGTGTTTTGCGTTGGGATGAAGGCTCCTGCGTTTCCCGAGCCCCTAGCATGCTGTTTTCCTGACCAGCCCCTTACATGCACTCCTCACGGGAGAGGATCCAGCCTGCGTCCAAGAGCACTCCCACATCATCCTTGGCATCGGCAGGACCCCACCTCGGCCATCTACTCCCCTCAGCCCGGCGCGGGTCCCAGCCGGTGCGGCGTCCCACCCCGGAACGCGGGGCGGGGGAGGAGGACTCACGCAGCTGCAGGAGCTTCGCGGAGCCGCGTGTGTGCGCGTGCGCGCGGAGGGGGCGGGGAGGGCAGCGCGCGCCCGGCGGAGGCCCCAAGCGCCTTTCCCACACCTCATGCAGCTCCTGCGGTCCCTTCTCCCTGGGCGTCGTAGCCAGACCCACGTGTGCAAAAGCATGCTGTGTGTGTGTGTGTCGGGGGGTGTATGTGTGTGTATAGCCGGGAAACCTTGTGCCCCGGGTCGGGCAGGTTCCGGTGTGCACAGGGGAAGGCGGCCAGGGAGACAGTGGCCGAGATCCTTTACCCCTCCAGTCCTCCTCAGCCCTTTCCTCCGGTTTCCTAGGGTCATTGGTACCTCTAGTCATTCCCCTCCTCTGACGCCCCCTTTTCTGCGGTAGAAGAGACCAGCGCCTTCCATGGAGGTTCTGGTTCACTCCCAGCCCCAAAGCCCTTGACATTTAGCGAGGGTTCGCGGCGCACGGTTGTAGGCACACAGCAGAACGCTAATCCTATTAAAGATATGGTGTCATTGGGGAGGGGGAGGCTGCCCCCCCGCCCCTGTCAGACCTCTCGCTCATTGGTCGAATGCAAAGCAGGGGGGCGGGGCTGAGGGCCCGGCGAGGGGGCTCCGGGCGATTTTGGAGTCGGGAGTCGGGGCTGGGAAAGCCCAGCGGTGGTAGCTGCGGCGGATCCCCCGACAGTGTCCGCGGCGCGCCGGCCCAGCCCTGGGCTGGGGAGCAGCTCCGCAGAGCCGCGGAGCGAAAGGAGGCGGAGCGCCCACAAAGTGGTTGGGGCTCGGCGCTGGGGCTGGGGCTGGGCGAGGTGTGTGCCCTGGGAGCCTGGATCCCGGAGCCCTGTGCCTCGTGTGGAGCGGCCAGTGCACCGGCAGGCGAGCTGACGCTCTGGAAAGAAGTAAAATTGCAGCCTCCCCAAAGACGCTAAGTTACGCAGGCCAGCTAGTTCCCGGAGAGCGTTCGTGAGCGCGCAGAGAGCCGAGCCGCAGAGCCCTCCCGGGCCAGCCGGCCGGGATTGGGGCAGCGGACCTGTGCACGGGGTCCGGTCCGGAGTGCGCCGGGGTACAGAGAGGGGGCGTGTAAGGCTCCACCGGGCCGCCCGCAGCCCGCGCCCGACTTGGGCGCCCCCTCCGTTCCTCTCCGGGAGCGATGCCCCCCGCCCCTTGCGCCCCCCGGGAACGCCTCGAGCATGGAGAAGTCGAGTAGCGAGGATTCTTCGATCCACCGGAGTCCATCTTTGGACAGCAAGGACTCGGACTTTGCCAAGCCGTCCACCTCTGGCCGCCCGTTCGGCCGCGGCTTCACAGCCGGAGCCTTCTATGGCACCGCGGGCTCCCGGGGCCAGAGCCGCGCCGAGGCTGGCGTCAAGACCGACAAGTACAATGCCCCCAAAGGCAGCAAGTACGTGGTGTTTTACCTGGACCTGTCCTTTGTTTTCCTCCTAGAATTTAAGAAGTGCAACATGGCCAGGGGCTGCCTCTGCTGCTTGAAGTACATGATGTTCCTCTTCAATTTGATATTCTGGGTAAGTCCTTGTGCTTATCCCTCCCTTTGCCTCCTCTCCTCTTCTATACCCTCTTCCTCTTCAGTGCTGCATTGCTCTGCTCTCCGCACAACGGTAAGTGGGCTTTTTTTTTGAAAGATCGTTTTTTCCCCTTGTCCATGTATCCTCCTCTTTCTTCCTCTCTCCTTGGTGGCTAAATGGATGCTCCGACTTGCCTGTCTTCCAGGAGAGACTTACTCTACTCCTAGGAGGCTGGCAAAGTTTGCCTTCACCTCCTGCCCTGTAAGAAACTCATTCTGGAAGTGCCTCTAACTGAATAAGCTGCCGAAATAGGTGTGGGGTCAGAATTTTCAACAGCTGTGATCCTGAGTTGAAGACAGGCACAAGTGTGAATGGTCTTCTGAATTTCTTCTTTTATTCCTCCTGAATAGGCAGTAATATCATCTGCAGCACTTTATGGGCATGAGATGGGGGAGTGGTAGAGGTCACATTCTCCCACTCCTGTCAGTGAACCCCGGGAAAAGGAGGAATAGCCCCTGTCCCAAGTTGAGGGACTCCCTTGCTAGCCTGCAGATATGCCCCTGAGTTATGGCTCATGTGGAAAAGGAGGGTGTGGGAGGGAGGCTGCCATCGGGTGGCAGGCAGCTGCTTTTGAGGGATTGCAGTGGACTGGGCAGAGCCAGCAGGCTGACCATGTGCTCTTGCCATGGACCGCGAGCCCTCCCGGCTCCGGGAACCCCAGAGACTGGAAGGGACAAAGGGGGAACAATCAGGAGTGCTTCCATTCTGGGTGAGAGATTGTTTTCTAGAGAAAGTGTCAGTGGGTGGGGCAGCTTGGAATTGTTCTGCGACCTCTGATTCTGGAGGCTGTGTGAGTGCCGCTTGCACACTTGTGCATAAGAAATACTAGTTAGGCAAATTTGAAAACTTCCTAACTTCACATCTAATTGTTCCTTCATCCCAACTGCTGCCTCCACCTTTCTTCACCAGAGTCCAGACGCAGATGTTTGGCTCTGCCCCAGGGCTTGTCCTCCTGCCTGCTGGAGGCTGTCAGCTGCTCGTGGTCCAAGAGGAGCGCTGAGGGCAGGAGAAAGTCATTCACAGTGAAGTTGGGTAGAAGTAGTTGTGTTTTGGTGTTCATCACTGTGGGAATTGACTGGCTGTAACGGAAAAACTTTTTATGGTTGTGTTGGGAGGGGTGACTTTTCCCACAGAGGGGAAAAAAAAACTCAGGTTGGGTGACAAGTCTGGGTTCTAGTCTTGGTTCTGTGTTAGTTTCTTTTGTGACCTTGGTTAAATTGCATCATTCTTTAAGGACTGGGTGTCCTTTCCAGCCCAATGGGGGGCTGTTGTGACGGTCTCCCTCATTTCCTCTCTTCATTAGGTATGGGACATCCTGCACCCTTGCCTTCTCTCTGGGGAGGGAGCCCCCTTCCCTGCCTCGTGCACAGGTTACTGCTTCTCTTCAGAGGAGACTGGTTTGAGTTGAATTTTCCCAGATATCTCCATGGTCTGGGGCCCTCCACTCACGGTGTTACCTGTCCTTTGGCGGGGGTTTTGTGGAAACTGGAGCAGAGCCACTGGGATGTCACGAATGATATTTTTCTGGCCATCATTGGGCAAGTGCTCCTGGTCCTCTAACTCACTTGCCAGCATTAGTGTCAGCCAAGCACTGGTGTGTACTTCCCTGGTGCCTGCGGCTTACATGAATGTTGCCCTTTCATTGTCCACAGCTTCTGTCCCCGTTCTTGTTCCTAGTCAACCTGCTTTTCTGTCTTGCTCCACTCTGCCTATCTTAACACTTACTAGAAAGACCCTCCTGGGGATGCTCACTCAGTGCTTTGGCCAGTACCTCCCTGCTCCTCCCCGCCCCCACTCGCCACCTGCTGGCCAGAGTGGGTATAACTGCTGCTGCTGCTGCTTTCTTCTCCAGGATGGTGTGGACTTGGTTTAGGGACCTCCTCGTATGGTATAGCACAATGGTCTGTGCCCCACACTTGATAGGCATTCGTTATATGTTTGTGAGTAAATTAATTGGAGGCCAGAGCAGTATGTCCAAATGTTAATTGTGTTGCAGGGATTCCCAGGTCCCCCTTGGTAGGGACTTGTCCATGATGAGGGCTCTCCTAGCACCTTAGCTGTGGGTGACAAGAGGCTCTTTCATCATCCCTGAAAAGTTTGGCAGAGGTTAATGAGCTGGTTGATGGAGTGGCTTTCCTTTATGGTCTATAATGATAGGACTTGTTGTCTCTTCCTAATTAATTTTTTTTCTTTATTGATTTTAGAGAGACAGAGAAAGGGAGAGAGCGATAGAAACATCGATGAGCGAGAACATCGATTGGCTGCCTCCTGCATGCCCCCCACTGGGAATCGGGCCCACAGCCTGGGCATGTGCCCTGACTGGGAATTGAACCGGCGACCTCTTGGTGCATGGGTCGACGTTCAGTCACTGAGCCACACTGGCTGGGCTGTCTCTTCCTAATTAGAAGGTACCACCACCACTCTCTTACTAGGCAAGGAGTGACTCTCTCCTAACCTCTGACTTTTCAGAATTCCGACAACATGCTCTGAGGCGGGAAAAACTGAGTCAAAGACCCAGGTCTTTTATGCTAGTAGCATATGAGATGATGAAATGAGACACAGACTTTAGGAAAGATGGAAAACATAACAAAAGAGAAATGGATGCCTGTGTGAGAGTGTTTACTGGGAGCTGGGAGGACAGGTGCAGTAGGGTGCTAGCCAGGATTTGGGCATGGTGGGTCACTGAGCTCCTCGTGAATGAACTTCCTGTGCCCAGGTGATTGGGCCTGATATGGGAGGAATGGAGGGAAGAGCCAGATGAGAAGAGAAAGTGATTGGGCCAAAGACAGGTGGGACAGGGCCTCTGGGAGACCTCTGATCTTTTTAGTACACACAGGGAAGGAAAGACTGGAAGTAGGTGAGAGGGTCAGGTGAGAAGGTGCCAGGCTGGTGAGAGCCAACTTCTCCAGGATCTAGAGCAATGGGCAGGAATTATAAAGCTATCACTTTTTCTAGTCTCATGGCTCAGATCCCAAAAGGAGGCTTTTCTGAGGCATTGGAGTTGAACCAGAGGCCTGCAATCAATAGATAGAATCTTCCTTAGATCCCGGAGTCTGCCTGGTAGTTCTCCAAACCCACTGCTGCCACCATGCCCCTGCCTCCTCAGAACCCGCTGGAGGACTCCCAGGGCAGCTGTCTTACACTGCAACCCCTCGCAGGCCTAAGAGTCCCTGGTTCCTGTCACCGGGGGGAGCTTCTGGGGTGTCGGTATGGTGAGCACTTGGGTGACACCCCGGGGCAGAGTGGGAGGCAGAGCTCTGCTGCGAGCGTTCCTCTCCCTTACCAAGCAAAGGGCAGGTGCCTTACAGGCTTCTGGGTGCCTGCCTGCTTCGGGGGGTGAGGCGGGGGGGGGGTCCAGGTTCTCTGGCCCTGCTGACTTCAGCCAGATGGTGCTGGTCATGTTGGCACCCAGGGAAGCATTTCAGAGGGCCTGATATCGATGGTGGGGGTTAAGGAGGGGCAGTCAGGGGTCAAGCCGACTGAGCCCCACCTCCTCTTTTCCACTGCATACCTCACTCTGATTCTCAGGGCCAGGAGAGGAAATAGGAGCCTGAACTGGGGTAGACGTTCCCATCCTAAATGGCCTGTCTGCCAGTATTCACACCCACCCCAGTTCTCTCTCCCGGTAGTGGGAGCCACTGGGGTGCTCCCTCAGTCAGGCCGTCTCTGAGTCCTCCTAGGGCTTCTGGTGGAATCCTCCAGGCAGGGACTAAGGGAATCTAAGTCCCAACAGGAGGGCAAAGGGGACAGACTTTTTTACTCCGAGAAGGGGAGGGAGAATATAGCGTGGGCTGAGTGCCGGGGACTTCTGTCCCCTTCTCAGGACAGCAAACCTGATCTCAGCCCAGCTTCTCCCAACCCAAGTCAAGTTCCTGTTGAGATGGAGGGGTGGGGGTGGGGCTGGGGTTGCTGGCGTAATTGTCACTTCGGATTATGGCCACTGTTCATGCTTGCTAGCAGAGTTGTCCTGTCACTGTAAGTCATGGCTGGCAGAGCAGTGACATTCTGCCCCAACAGAAACTCTACTCCTTGTGGAGTTCTCCCTTAATAAAGGCCAATTAGCTAAGGAGGCAGTGTTCAGTGTGCCTGCTGGAGCAGGGGAAAGGTTGGCACAGGGCTGGCATGGGCAGGGGACCCGGTGGGGGCTCTGATTAACCTCCCTAAGTGGGGTCGGGCCTTTGGGGCTCGGCCCCTCTGACTGTCCACTTGCCCTCTTGGAGCAGCGTGTTTGGTTCAGGATCTCCGGCCACATCTGAGACGTGTTGGGCACCAGCTTGGCTGCGTGTAGTGTCTCTTGACCAGTGGTACCAGGACAGCGGTCTGTGCACAGTCGGTGCTGGACGGCTTGGGGTGTCATAGTGAAGCTGTGGGGTGCCTTCTGTCTGGGAGTGAAAGTGGGAGTAGACTGAAGGTTCTGAGCAGGACATGTTCAGACCTGGCCTCTCCAAACAGGAGATCCAGGCTAACCCGGGCATCGAGAGGCGTTCAGAGGCTCCCCAGAGCGCTCAGGTGTGAGTCATCGGGCTGTCCCCCCAGACGGCTGCTACAAGTAGATGTCGGGGCGGGTCAGGCCTGGCTCCGCTTGGAGGAAAGGGTGCAGATGCAGGGCTGGCTGATGCTCTGAGACCCTGGGAATGGCTGTGCGGGAATGCTGGCTCTGTGCTCACTTCCTTTCCAAAGCATTAAAAATTAAACTTCCTTGTCTTAATGTCTATTTTTAAATCATGTCAGAGCCAGCATCGGTGTCAATCAAGACTGGGTGGGGAGGAAGAGGGTAGAGAAGAGAAAGTCCCAGCTGAAACAGGGTAAGTGCTGTCATTGCCTTGAGGAAAGTGCCACAGGTCTGTCCTCCGTCCCACAGGGCAGTGAAGAGCACAGAAAACACCCACCTCCTCTGAGCGTGGCGGGCTGGGGCGGGGGCACGGGAGGGGTGAAGGGCT